ATTTATCAATACAACTCTAAGGTTACAATTTGATTAAACTCAAATAACAGTCAAATTAATGTTGGCAAGAATGGTTGCTCAATATCAATTTTTTTGCAGAATGGGGAAAAGGGTAAAAAGTCTAAGCAGGTTAAAGAAACAGTTATTAAATACATTTTCTTGGATGTGATTCCGCATTTGTGTTTAGGTGTATGTGTGGGTTTAGAGCAGGGGTAGGCAACCCCTGGCACGCGTGCCAGCATTGGCACGTGGCACCGTAATCAGTGGCACACTAGGAATAAGTGGAATAAGTGTGCAAAATATTTAAATTGTATTTTCGGATCCTGAACGAGACCGCCGCCAGAGCGCGTCTCCCCGTTACCTGCAGAAGGAAGCCATGTGCATGGCTTCCTTCTGCAGGTAACGGGGAGACGCGCTCTGGCGGCGGTCTCGTTCAGGATCCGAAAATACAATTTAAATATTTTGCACACTTATTCCACTTANGATCGGGGGCGTACTCGGCAAACTTCGGAACCAACATCGTTTTTTAACGTATATGTCATTTAATTATGAACAAACTTTAAAAAAAAAAATAATAATTTATTCTGGTGATATCTAAACTACATGTTAAAAAACACCTGTGTTAGATGCATTACATGGCCTTTAAAACTGGAAAACTCAAATCAAAAGTAGTGGGACATGCGGAGGACAGAAGAGTCTTCAAAGGCCTTGCCCTATCAAACAAGGTTAACACAATAAAACAATGATTGGTGTATCCTGCTCATGATTCAGATCAGCTCTAAAATGCATTGGGTTCTCTCTTAGCGAAGTTCCATTAAAACTGGGCCAGGAGTTGTTCCGCAAAACCGCCGATAGCTAAAATGATGCTAAAAAAACATAACTTCCATGTCGTAGGGGCAGGTAATAACACATGTTACAATATTATTTGAGCCATGTCTGGATTTGTCGTACAGATCGACTTTGTAGTAGGCAATCAAGCCTCGTAAAAGACGCCTACTGGGAGAAAAACCTCCACTCGCACCACTTCTACAGGGTTCTTCATCCCACATGTCTCCATTAGAGTAGCATTACCCTGTGTGATATCACTGATGACCAAGTGTGATTGTGCGTCTTTCTAGATGTTATCAGGTCTGGATGGTCAAAGAGGAGGATCAAGCCGATAAGCATCAGCTGGTGGATCGATAGGAGCCTCTACTCATACTGTGTGTGTGCGTGTATTTCTGAGGGTGACACAGAAGATACAAGACAGATAAAGAAAAGCTCTTCAGATTGGCCTCACTAAATATGTCCCTGTGTTCTATTTTTTTCAGCCCGCAGGATCAAAATTTGATGAATTTTGTTTCATCTTGTGAGTTGAAAATGACACAGTGCTCATGCCATGTGGGAACCAAAAACAGGCTGGTAACCCAGTTTAGACCACGACCCAGTGAGTAATAAGATATTTCTGTGACCCACCTAAGAATCATCCAACCTTTCAAGGTCAGGATAAAAGCCAATGATAAAAGTTCTGACTTCCCCCAACTGTCTTCTTCTTATCATTTGGGTTTATTCCCTCCATTAGTCTCTGGATCAAATAATGAGTTTCCTGGTCCCAAAGGTCCTAGGTCGGAAAAGTGTAAGCAATAGACAACACAGCCAACTTTACAACAAAAGATATCGCATATGCATATTCACTGGGACCGAAAACTTTTGAAAGAGATAGCTTTCCCTTTGCAAGACCCATCTCATGTTTTATTCTGGATACGTGACTCATCCCCTGTGCTTCATTTTAGCAGGAACACTTTTCATCTATTTTGCTCAAATGACCCGGGTTCCTCAGTTGTAGTCTCAGGTGGAACGAGGGCACACAACCCCCCTCGCACAAGACTACGAGCTCTTCTATTTTACAAAAGACACTTTGAACTGTTAGAAGCCTTTTGGAGTGTCCACCCACTCTTCCCAGCCTTTTTACTGTAGGGGATAGCAGCAAGGCGGAGGATGTGGTAGAGATAAAATACAGAAAGAGTTCACGCTGTTATGAAATGATATTCTGACATTGAAATAAATGTATGAACATAAACAATGCCTTGGCATCATTAAGGCTTGCTCAGAATAGTTTGTTGATGTTACTTTCTTTAGAAAAAACGTTGTTGTTCACCATAAACATTTTTAATCAAAGCCACCCGTTACCTTTTCTTCACATCTCCGGGGGAACATACTGTCAAAGGATTTTATTACACTGCTACAGACCTTCACTAACAACAAAGAAAAACTTTCAACAGGGTAGAAATTGAACTATGGCGTAGAACAAAGTGCTGCTACATTGAATTTGTTGATAGTTGACTGAATATTGATTGAACAATTTGGGCTGTAGTGAAGAATGGCCCCCATTTATTTTCCTCTATTTTCTGAATCCAGCAAAAATGACTAATTCCGACAAGTCAAGTCAATTGATAGATTCAAAAAGTCACACATCTTCCAAATGGTTTGACAATGTTTAAAGTGTACAACAACTTACATGTTGATTTAGTTTTGAACAAGTTGAATTTGGGAACCTTCGGGGAGGCAACCTCTCCAAGACCAAGACGTTTTCAGAGGTTTCTATCTTTTTACCTTTTTTGCAAATTCATTACCATTTCAATTTGGCAAATATTTATTATAACAGGAACTAATAGTCAGGTATAGCATTGATACAATTGTTGAATAAATACAAGACCCGGTCTTATACGACCATGGTGTCTGTGGTACCAAACATTATGTATATCAATACTACTGCGTGTCTTTTTCACATCATGGAGCACATCCTATACTAATTAACAAGTATGTGAATTGTCACTTTCACGGCCTAAGGAAGTGCAGTGTGTGGAGAATGATTCTGGAGAAAGTTGCAAAGAGCAAGACTGAAGGCTAAGCAATCAGTCACGTTTTGAATTGGAATTCCACTCGTTTATAACTAGCTCAAGCAAATGTGTATTTCCGTGGTTGGTGTAAAATTGTGGAATTCTCAACAAAAGGATCTAAAGAATTGTATATGTATTTTTCAGTTAAATTGCTAAATATTTTTGATGTCTTTGATGTGATGTCTGTTCTTTATTTGCAGGTCCCATTGTTATTGTTATTATTATTATTATTATTATTATTATTATTATTATTATTATTATTATTATTATGCGCCACTTTCCACCTTCTTCTCCAGTAGGACTCAGATGAGGGTGTTGTACTTTTCCTTTTCCTTATACATGTGATGTTTTGGTGTTGTTGTTTTTTGTTGTTGTTTTGTTTCTTTCCGTTAACCGTCAAGTGGGAAATAAGTATTTTTTGTGTTTCTCTTAGTATCCTACGATACTGTTGTGTTTGGGTGTGAAAAAAAAAATATTATGAAGGGCAGACCATCTATTTGTATTTCTTTTGTTTTTTTTAAGATAGGGGCAGGTCATATAAGATTGTATTCTTCTCCCTGATCCTTTTCGCTCAATTGTGTGTTTGTAGAGACATGTTTTGTTGGCAATTATTGTATATTTGGTTTTGCGTACCATGAACGGGACAAATACAAATGAAATGAAATAATAAAGGGGTTCTTCAGAAATGAGCAGCCTTAAAAATGTGGGGGTTAAACCAGCATATGGCGCGATCGCTTGACTTTTACTCCCTAGTATTGGTCAAACAATTGAAACAGTTTATTTAATACACGTCATCAGGAAGCGCAGTAGGCTACTCATTGTGACATGTCTTGTCATATCTATAGAGTGAAATAGTTGGATTGCCCCTTAAAAAAAGAACTGTATGCAATGTCGTCATCTCCAACATCCTTTCCATACCCTCTTTTATTCTTTAATGAATGCATTTGGAATTAAAAAAACCTTATGTAGTCCATTGCTTTTCATATGGTTGATATGGCCTGTTAGCATAGAACAATGGACCGAAGAGCATTGATACAGAAGTTAATTCCCCTGTCTCTCCGCCTCAGTGCACTATTCAACAGTTTGATGGCCGTTAAATATATCCACTAAGACAATGAGCGGCAATAAAACTCTTTCAAAACAAAGGTTCTACGTATGATTGCTCATGTGCCCTCACAGAAACAGTGTAGTTAAGCTTGCTAAGCCTTACAGTAAGTGCGAGGGTAAGCCAGGTCATAAGGGAAGGAAGAAAGGAAGGTGTGGAATTAAAACACACAAGTGATACAAGCAATATACAGTGGGGCAAAAAAGTATTTAGTCAGCCACCAATTGTGCAAGTTCTCCCACTTAAAAAGATGAGAGAGGCCTGTAATTTTCATCCTAGGTATACCTCATCTATAAGAGACAAAATGAGAAAAAAAAAATCCGGAAAATCACATTGTCTGATTTTTTAAAGAATTTATTTGCAAATTATGGTGGAAAATAAGTATTTGGTCAATAACAAAAGTTCATCTCAATCCCTTGTAATATACGTGTATACCCTTGCGTTGGCAATGACAGAGGTCCAACATTTTCTGTAAGTGTTCACAGGTTTTCCACACCTGTTGCTGTATGCTGTTGCTGGCCCAGACAATGTGAGTTGCTCAGTTTTTTCTCCGCTCTCATAGTGGAGTACCTAGGATTTTGAAAATGGTACGGCCTTCTCGTCACTTCTTTTTAAGTGGGAGAACTTGCACAATTGGGTGCTGACTAAATCTTTTTT